ACTGCTATATTTATACTTAAAATTTTTTTGACAATGTTCAGAATTCATAAACGTATTGTTTTAAGATGAAAAAAACAAGCTCTCTGTTCATTTCAATCATTTTGTTCCCAGCATTCTTTCTAATGAATTGTACCTCATCTAAAAGGTTTGATTGTTTTATTATTTATTGGCTATCTCAATACCCTTTTCTTTCTATGATGTAAAGAAAAATTTAAATAATCAATGAAACAGTATCATTCATAAACTACGAAATGATACACAAAACTGAAAGGTACATATATACCGACACAATTACAAAATTTAAAGTAGTTTAAATTTATTATTATTATTTTACTTTTTTGTTTTTCCCGAGAACTTTACTTTATAAAAATAGGAAAATTATGCCTTTAGAAATTCAATGCAAAAAAATATATATGTATAATAACGTACTTAATATTTTTTGGCACCAATAATGATGCTAACACATGACAGACGATTTTTATTTCAATCAAGCAATTTTATGGATGTATCAACTCTTTAATATATAATTTATTTTTAATTACTATTGACTTTACTTAATAGAAATGCGTTTAAAAAATGTCACTCTAAACAAAATGAACACGTGATTTTAGACAGCTTTCAAAATATAATGTGGGGATGTCACTCCCACCCACATGCCATGCACATGGATTTTTCTTGTGCTCATGTGACATAAAAATCAAAGGTAAATAGATCTTTAAAAATGAGTCATTAATTCTTATTAAAACTCATTTTTCATTAAACAGAGCTGTAAGCTAACAAACATTACTAATACTGTTTTATAAATAACTGCACTTTAAATTGCAAGAATGTGTAATGGTATTTGCATTAGAAAAGCGCTTCCATAAATCCCTTCAAAAAGATAAATTTAAATTTTTAAACAATTTTTATGATTAGGGGCTAAACTTTCTTCGTGATAAAATTTTAAACCTTCGCTGTTCAGATTCCAGGATCCCTAGTACGTAATAAACACTGTAGGGGCAAAATTAACTCTCACCACCGGCCACAAAGTAATTAAGTCTAAAAAATAACAATTAAATATTTGCTTCAAAATCGCCACTCGATCATTACTTTTGTCACCGAAAAAGCACATCATGTGCTCCAAAATATGTGCTTTCAACTTCTCGTATTATTCATTACATAAGAAATTCGTAATCATCAATGTACGCTATTTTACACTGATTCAAAATTTCAGTGAGGACTGAATCTGGTTATCAAATGTTTTACTTCGAGTTAAATTCATATCGTTTTTTAATTGCAATTGTATTTGATCTACTCTGTAACGAATTAATTTTATGTTGCAGCCTTGATTCAAAAACTCAAATAGTATTAAGTTTAATTAGTTGAAAACGTTCTATACAATATTTAAATCTTGCTTTAAAAAGGTAAGGAAAATGTTTCTTCATTTTAAATATGAACATTTTTGCGTTTACCATATTTTTGAGAAATGCTAGGTACAAAATAAATGAATTACATGAATAATATCAATAATTTGTTTGGCAATAAAAATTCATTATAATTTTTGTAAAAATGGCAATTATTAAAAATAACCATGGAAATATCCTGTTTTGACCTACAATTTCTTATAGGTAGGTAGCCATATCCACAAAACTTCCATCACATTTATAATAATAGACGATATTAGAAGTAGACTTATTTGAAAATCTGTCACTTTACAAATGAGCCAGGTAGATCTAATTGGAAATGTCTTCAATATTTTCTAATTTAACTGATATTTTTTAATTTATTACAATTAGCCTGTGTCTCTTTAGGCTCATGTATAAAGAATATCTCGATCCGACTGCATTGGCTAGTTGGCTTTAACCTCTAAGAAGGCTATTTACAATAAACTTTCACTACTCTAAGCTTATTGAAAAGTGTTTGAAATAAACAAAAGCTAATTGAACAGTGTTATATTTTCTAATTAGCCTAAATGTTTGTGAGCTAACTGCAATAAGCCTAAAAAACATCAGGCCGATAAGAGAATAATGGTGACCTTTCCAATTTCTTCTGGAAAATATTCCAAAATGACGACGAATGTTTTTAAAGAGCCTAGATATTTAATTAGCCTACAATATCAAAAACACTAACTAGATCTGTGAGCTTTTTATTAAATGNTTTTTAAACGATTTTTATGATTAGGGGCTAAACTTTCTTCGTGATAAAATTTTAAACCTTCGCTGTTCAGATTCCAGGATCCCTAGTACGTAATAAACACTGTAGGGGCAAAATTAACTCTCACCACCGGCCACAAAGCGATTAAGTCTAAAAAATAACAATTAAATATTTGCTTCAAAATCGCCACTCGATCATTACTTTTGTCACCGAAAAAGCACATCATGTGCTCCAAAATATGTGCTTTCAACTTCTCGTATTATTCATTACATAAGAAATTCGTAATCATCAATGTACGCTATTTTACACTGATTCAAAATTTCAGTGAGGACTGAATCTGGTTATCAAATGTTCCCTTCGATTTAAATTCATATCGTTTTTTAATTGCAATTGTATTTGATCTACTCTGTAACGAATAAATTTTATGTTGCAGTCTTGATTCAAAAACTCAAATATTAAGTTTAATTAGTTGAAAACGTTCTATACAATATTTAAATCTTGCATTAAAAAGGTAAGGAAAATGTTTCTTCATTTTAAATATGACTTTTTGCGTTTACCATATTTTTGAGAAATGCTAGGTACAAAAGAAATGAATTACATGAATAATGTCAATAATTTGTTTGGCAATAAAAATTCAATGTAATTTTTGTAAAAATGGCCATTATTAAAAATAACTATGGAAATATCCTGTTTTGTCCTACAATTTCTTATAGGTAGGTAGCCATATCCACAAAACTTCCATCACATTTATAATAATAGACGATATTAGAAGTAGACTTATTTGAAAATCTGTCACTTTACAAATGAACCAGGTGGATCTAATTGGAAATGTCTTCAATATTTTCTAATTTAACTGATATTTTTTAACTTATTACAATTAGCCTGTGTCTCTTTCGGCTCATGTATAAAGAATATCTCGATCCGACTGCATTAGCTAGTTGGCTTTAACCTCTAAGAAGGCTATTTACAATAAACCTTCACTGCTCTAAGCTTATTGAAAAGTGTTTGAAATAAGCTAAAGCTAATTGAAAAGTGTTATATTTTCTAATTAGCCTAAATGTTTGTGAGCTAACTGCAATAAGCCTAAACATTAGGCCGATAAGAGAATACTGGAGACTTTTCCAATTACTTCTGGAAAATATTCCAAAATGACAACGAATGTTTTTGAAGAGCCTAGATATTTAATTAGCCTACAATATCAAAAACACTAACTAGATCTGTGATCTTTTTATTAAATGTAGTTGATAATTCTTTTGATTAATCCAGAAATATTAGTCTGTATTTAAAAGAAATACTACCTAATATGTAGTAAACTCTCTTCTTCATACAATTTTTGACTATAAATATTTTTAATACTATTGTAACTATGTTTTTTCCTTAAAACAGTCCTTGTAACACTGCTGAAGCTTTGTAGAACACAATCTGATTCTAAAGATGCCACTACAGTAAGTATTTAGATGTAACCATTTTAAATTTTTAAATAAAATACATATATTTTAATGGATTTTAAATGCACTATGACTTTAATAAAAATATTTCAGTTTGGCTGAAGTGTTAATACCTTCTGTATGAGTACTCTCTCCGTANGAAATTTGGATAAAAACCTGGAAAAATCAGGGAATTTTAAAGAAAAGCTGGAAATTTTTTCCATTGATAATTTTTTAGTTCCTCTAATTTAAATTATTTATTAATTTTCTTTTTTTTTAACGGAAATGTATCGCCAAACAGTTGAAATATCATCAACTTAGCGATACTTTGCTTGCATCAAAATTTGCTCCATTACAGCTCTGTTAAACTAGTATACCACATAAAATTCTCCTACGGTTGCAAAGCGAATGCAGAAACCTTTGACAGCTATGGGACTCTGCAATTTAGGAAAGATTCTGGTGGATGTGAAAAAGGGATTAGGATATTAGCTCTGTTTTTAAATTCTGTCCTTGGGCTGAATCCATTTATGGCTCAAGTTTGTTCCGATGTTTTGGTGGTAATTTTTTTCTTCCTATTTTGACAAAATGTTTTTGTATTTTTAACTTTATAAAATTCTCCAAAAATTAGTTAAGTTATGATTTAATAATAATAGATTTTATATTGCACTCTTTTTCTGAAAGCTTTTCTACTCCCATTCAAAGAAATCTGTGAATTATTCTTTCTCAGCAAACCAACCAATCACACATTTTTTTACAATCGCTAATAGCAATGTTTGTCGATAAATCAATTGTTGCTAATTTTTTCTATTTCATTTTAACCTTTTGTAACATATTTTTAAAAAATGTTTCTTTTAAGAACCAACTATATATTAATATTTAATTTTACTCTTTTGTTGGTCAATATATGATTTTTGATTCAAAATTTTGTACCAAAACATTTGAAAAATAAATAAAAAGTCTTGCCAAATTGTCAAAATAAATTATTTTTTTCAAGATGATATGTTAAAAAAATAACATTTTGAATAAAATATTTCATAATATAGACACTTTTCTTGAACACATCCTACACTTTATAAGAAAAAAGAAACAAAAACCTGGAAATTTTAAGATTTTTATCTGGAAAACCTGGAAAAATCAGGGAAATTTGAAATCTGATTTGAGTGGCCACCCTGATATATTTCAATGCATTTCAAATGCACTATGACTTTAATAAAAATATTTCAGTTTGGCTGAAGTGTTAATACCTTCTGTATGAGTACTCTCTCCGTATTTCCTCAAAGCATCAAATAAAGAAATTATTACGATAACGACGAAACTATTTTTGGTAATTGAAGAAGTACAGTAATAAAAATGATAATCATTCGATTTAACTATTGAATGCCCAACCTACTGTTAAGTTTAGATTTTATTCTAAGTGTTCAAAATTTTGCGTGCACCTTTTCGTGTAGATTAACTTCAACACTATAATAGAAAATAAAGAGTTGTAAGAATCATTAGAAATCACTCTAAAATAAGCTTAAATCTAAAAGAAGAAGAAGAAAAAAGCAGACGATAATTGTAGAAATTGATTGTTTTCCAAATTGAGCTATTTTTATTTTATTTTTATCAACGTGCACTTTCTATGTTTTTCCATGATATTTAATTTTAAATAATGTGATGTTATTTTTACAATTAACTTATTCATAATTAGTATCTCAGTGGAGATTTTAATATAAAAATGAATACTGATCCATACAATTATCGCCACTAATTTATCGCCGTTTCATAATTGTAATGAATCGCCATCATATTCTTACGTTTTTGATTCTGATTAATTCTATAACTTACTAATGACTATTCTAGAAAATTCCTAGTCGAACGATTTTCCTCAAAAATGGAAAGAACAATGATGTTATGTATAAACTAAAAACAACCCAGAGACTCTGATGGAGCATTAATGTAGGTTGATTATTTGAATAAAAGTTATGTATTAATAATTCTTAGGTTTTCTTTTTTTTTTAATATTTATTTTTTATATTACCAAATTTGTATTTCTTTGGGATTACTAAACACAGGTAATTTACTCCCAAAGAATATTTATTAATACTTTTAAGTTTTTAGTAAATTTGTTTTGCTTAAAACTCATATCCTATAAATTTCATTTTCATAAATAATGAATGCATTAAAATTTCATATTTTATCGAGAGCATTCATTTAAATGGTCCAGTTATAGTTATAATAAAAGGACATAATAACTATTTTTTCACAAGTAACTTTAACTTTTAAAAAAATTATTTATTATTTATTTATTATTAATCATATTACTCAGCAGCACAGGTGTAGAATTAGAGGGCACCACTTTCCAACGCTTTCTGTAGTTTTCCAAAAATGTAGAATTTTTTCATTTTTTAAAAATCTTTTTTTTTTCTTCTTCTCTTAAAGTTAGCACTTTCGCTTCAAAAGAAAAGTGTGTTCGATCTTTGTTTTTTTTATGAATCTCAACATATTTTTTTAAATAAAAATATTCTCGATCAAAATATAAATTTTTTTTAATGAAAACTATAGCGTTGTATAATTAAATTCCTTAAGATCCTATCTCACTTTCGATGCTGAAAATACGAGAAAATGGCAGTTTGAAAAAAAGTTGTACAAATAATAATAAAAACTTAATTAATTTCATTAGTGAAAATCTCAATTCAAAATGCCCTGCATAATGTTTTTACTGTTTTTTTTTTCTTCTCTATAACTCTCTTTCTTCCTTTTTGACCAAATATTACTGAAACACTTTCCGTATTACACTTTCCATATTACTTAAATTTAGAAAGATGTCCTTTTTACAATATTAATCACACATACATTTTCTTTTCTCTTTTGACAGACTCCAGTACCTATAGGCCATTTTCTCACACCAACTGACGGTAAGTTTTCTTCTTTTTTTCTCAATTCTTATTTAAATGGGCTAAGAATTAATTAATAATTACGAGACAAAAATGCTCATCGATATTTGTTTTATGTGCTTCGTTGATTATATAGAATTTTAGCTTAGCTTTTTTTTCCCTGACATTGTGTCTTACAAGTCCAGAAAATGAAAGGTATGCATATGCATGAAAAGTAAGATGATATATGGATAGTAAGTGGTCCTGCATTCAGGATTCACCGACGGGTAAAAATTAAACTAGATTTTAGAATCTGAAAATAATCTAATAATTAAAAATAACTATTAACTTACTGTAAAATGATGCACGTTTTGATAACGAAAATATAAAATAAATCCTAAGTGCTTTGGCTTTTCGATATCAGCAGGCTTGCTTGATGAAACCAAGGCAAAGGATGCATTTTTAAGGCAAAGGTAGTGTTTGTTTTTTTTCTACAAGAATGCGACTTCAGCCACACACACGTCACAGCCCGTTTATAGGGTAGACCCATTCATACATTCCTCCAGAAAAGGATCAATCTCTTCAATACCTCCAGTGTTATGATTTGTTATGGGAACATAGAAGACTTTGTGACCTACTGATTTAACATTCACCAGTCACCATTTACTACATGGAGAGTCTTCGGCAGGCTGGGATCAAACTCACGACCTCTTGGACATGGGCCAAACACCCTACCAACCAAGCTATCCCGGCCCAACGCTTCGGTATGTTCGATACCTAGCTAGCTTCGGTATATTTACTCTACAACTGTTAACAATTTAAAACTTTCTCGTATTTTTCATGAAGGTAAAATAGTCGCGAGTACTTTTTAGTCTGGCTAGTAATTTAAGGACTGAAATTTCCTGCTGTAAGTCTTCCAAATTCTACACTTTTTGCATCACCTTCTGTAAATCTTGAGGAAAAAGATCTACAAATAATTCTTTTATATATTTTAAACTAAACACTATTTAAATTATAATTAAATTTTCTCCACATCAATATTTCCAATATAAGCCTTTTGTCTATCAACTTTAAACACTTTAACTTGATGGCGAGCATGACTTTTTTAAGATTTTATAAATTTTTTTGGAGTGAACTGCCCGTTAAAATATTTTTTAAAATTATTGTTTAATAAATAATAAATTCTGTGTGTTAAAAGTACTTATATAATGATTTTTCAGATGTACTGGCGAAAGATGTAGCACCAGATTTTACTTTTGCTGTGTGGGATGGAAACGGTAAAATATGCATATTAGCGAAATTCGCAGCCTCTTTTAAGATCACATATCCTAGCATAGCGGGGGAACAAGTAAGCTCCTTTATTTATGCTTAAGTTAAAGTATACTATTTCGAAAATGTTTACAGTACAGGAAAGAATAAAACGGAATGAGTTATGATCCACGTCTCTCCCGTGTACTACTAAAGTGTAGCCGCGATTGCAAAGTTTTATTTTCACGTGAAAAGTTTAATTTTTAAACTTTCTGCTTCCGTCAGCTTTTTATTTTTATTTTATAATCAGGGCATAGATGTTGATGATTTAAAATAAAAAAGTATTTAATGCAGAACTTGTACTAATTTATAAAGAAAAAAATTCATTCTCTTTCAGAATGCCCTTAAAATGAAAAATATATTTTAAAATTCATTAAAAAAGGGATTAAAATCTAAAAGGTGAAAAACTGACCGAAAAAACAGTTAATGATTTCACATCCAAATGTGTAATAAAGACAATAAAAAAATTAATATCAACATAGTCTAGTCCTGGTGACGACGTTAAGACATTTCGATATAAACATGTCGGGACAAATAAAATTAAAACAGCTTGGAAAAAACATTTCGAACTGACGCCGTTTATATAATACCACGCGATCAAATAAATATTGAAGAGCTTTTTTTTCTGTTAAAAATTGCATTTAAGCCGATCGTCATATAACGATAAAAAAAAAGTTGTAGAATGTTCCAGAAAATAGTTGTGNCGGAATATAACGAAAAAAAAGAAGTTGTAGAAAGTTCCAGAAAATAGTTGTGATTCGTGGGAAAAAAATGTCACAACACTGGGTAAAGCCATTAAACTGTTTTTATGTAAAGAATCTCTGTAGCAATGATTTTAAACAGTAGATTTTCACTAATTTTTTTGTTTTCAATACTGCGCAAACCACAGTTTCCTCCTTTAGAGGAAACTGAAGTTGGGTGATTGTTCTAAGAACTATCCCGTGGAAATTTGTGAACTGCAGGGAAAAAGAACGCGATCCTAATGGGTGCACCCACACTTGAGAAGTTAAAGTACATTCGCAAATGGAAACAAACTTTCAATTTTATGTGTTTTAACCGGTGCTGATAAACCAACCCAATTTTTAGTTTACGATTTTCAATGTTTTACTCCGTGCCTTTGCAATTTTGAATCCAACTCAGAAGACAAGGCAACTTCTTTCTCAAGCATTGGGACAAACATGCCTTCGTGATGGACTTTTTGATAGAACTAACCAGCATTTGCGTTACATGGAGATAGAAAACCACCAAAACTTTCTACTATTTGTCCGATGGCAAGGGGGGGGGGAATCAAACCACTGAGAATGTTTTACGTCAGCACTGTGGTCGGTGCAGGCAGGGAGTAACAACCATCACTGGGAGTCGAACCTGGGTCGCCTTTTAAAGAGGGCCCCGCGACCCCCAGTATTATGCATTGAGAGAAATGATTTGCATGAGTCATTTTAATATAGTTACCTCCTTTCCTCAACTTATCACATGTCACCTACCAAAATCACACATTCCTTTAATTATCCGTACTAATTGGGAGATTTAGAGAGGCCATTTTGCATATCATCACCTTTACGTACTGATATGTGATAACTGAACATGCCTACAACGGAAACTCCTCAATTAACGGATTCTTAGTTGCTTTAAATCACACGTACGTGAACGTTAAGTGAGGGGAAACAAATCTCTCTCGTAAAAACCTAAAAAAAAATTTCAGTACAAACATTTTGGTGACAATAAAAAGGAAATCCCAACACAAGGTTGGCGTAAGGTTACATGCTTTCCGAGCAGTAACTCACGAAGCAGAAATAAAAATTATAATTAACTTAATTCTGATATTAGGTGTCACTATGTAAAAGTAATGAAGCAATTATGAAATAGGATACTGCAACTTTTAGAAATAGCCAACTTTTTGAACTTCGTTAATTAAAAATCCTAATGAAGATAATTTTTTAAAAATCCTAATGAAGAAGTTCTTTCACCTCATCTACGGTTTTGCTTTTACGATTGATTGTTTTTATGTATCTAGATTGTGTCTTATGTTACAAGATAAAATCGACGACCAATTGAATAACCCAATTCTATCTAAATGTTCGCCTTCATTTTGAAATGTGCCTGGCTAATGGACAACTACACAAATTTTCATGTTGTGACGTAGCTAAGTTAACTGTTAACTGAGTTGGGAGTCAAAACGTAAATATTTTCTTCGTGAAGCTACAGTTTCTCTACGGTAAGAAATCCTCCCGCCACAAAGTCTGAAACCATATGCAGCTATGGAAACAAGAATAGTGCATTTCAGGGAGGGTAGCTTCTCTTCTCTCTAGTGCTAGACCGAAGAAAAACCTGTCCTAAACAAAAACTCCCTACTTGAAATAGTTATACCTCGTTATCATAGTCACCGCCATGGGTCTAGACGAATGGCTAGGGGAGTTCTTACTTTAGACAAACTATACTTTATCATAGCTTTGAGTGCGAACAAAAACCGATTCTGAAGCGTGTGAGAGGTTTTCCCTTTCTAAAATATACACAAAGCAAAGCTTGTTTCGTAAAAAACGGTAAAACCTCTTTCTTCGGAGATCACCATTACTGAAGTAAACATAAATATTTAAACCCAAACAGTTAAGAGGCTCCAACCCATTCTCGTTGCGAATTGAAAAAGTCTCCAATATTTTCTTATTGCAGTGAACTCTCATAACTTTTCTTAGATTAATTAAAAATGTATCATTCCTTACTTAATTAGTCTCATTTATTTCAAGAAATTCATAATAGGCACTGAGTTCCGAAGGCTTATTGTAAATGTCCTTATCAAAGAAATATATGGCAATAAGCCTAAGCAAATTTAGCCTCATGCATTCCAAAATGACATTGATGATTTGAAAAAAACTTAAATATTCAATTAGCCAACGCAAATGTAAGACAATCATTGAAGAGCTTTTGCAGATTAGGAAATACAGAAGACTTTTTCATTTAGCCTAACTCAGAAATGGCGAACCATTTTCGTTCAGTGTACCAGTAAAATTACAATTTATTATTTTCAGATGCACAGTGTGCCCCTTGTCACAGCTCTTTAAAATAAATAAATAAATAAATGAAAATAGCTGTAATCTACTGGTTTGATTAGAATTAAATTGCGCAACACATTCGCTGTTGTTAACTTTCGTTAAATCTGAAACAAGGTGGTTTCATACAATCGGGTTATATACAAAGAAATCATTTTTTCCACATCATTGTGCAAATTTTTCTATTTTCTCATAATTGAAAATTTAATTTGGGTTCTAACAACTCATTACTTCTTACTTACTTCCCATGAAAGAACAAGCCGTCTCTGGTTTTCCGTACTGTAGCATAGTCACCCTTACGTCCTAGAAAATGCCTCTCTTATTTTTTCTTTTTTCAAACGAAGAAATTTTCAATGATTAAGTAATTAAAATGTTAAGTAATTAATCAGTACTAAAAATATTATTTAATAAGTACTTCTTGCGTAATGCATGCGTGCCAAAGATTTCATCTCTCGACAGTGACAATTGGTATTTGCAAAATTATTCAATGTGTCAGATATTGCTGATCTGAGGTTGTTTCTCTGTTCTTCATTTTTGATGCTGTTGTCGTTTCTTTAAGGCAGTTTTTTTCCCATAGCAAGAATGGAAATGTGTTGTGGTGAACCCTATAAGAGATGGGATCATTTCCTTTACCATTTATTTAAGTGTAAAGAATTTTTAATCATTTGTTTGCAGCACATCTCAGTGAATATGCCTGAAGATGCTAAAGTGAAGGGAAGGTGTGGGACTTTTGACAGAGAACCCATACTTGAATTAGCATGGCCAGGATTCCGATTAGTTATGTCTTTCACGGTGGTACGTTTCATTTCTTCTCCTTCCCTTTTTTTTTTCTTCGTTTAAAATAGAATGTGGATTTCTAAGATGTTCTTCTACTTAACAGGTAAATCCAAAAGAAAATCAAAACACTTGGGAGTTATTGTCAATGGAGCTCTTGTATGATACAGCAAGTCCACTCTTTGATGGGGCAACAAATGGTATGAAAAAGCTACGCAAATTATTAGATTTTAACTAAAGAAAGAAAAATATGATAGAGGGTTAGCTTAAGTGATTCATATAGTTTCAAAGGAATATCTATGTATAAAGTTAACGACGTACAAATACGGGGAATACATGGAAAGATCAATCATCCAGTTTTTCATGCATACTAGAAATGTAAGTGTTCCAATGGTTATCCAGTCGTCCATATATTTAATAGCATAATTCTATGAATGCTAGTCAGAACAGCAATGATGCATGTCTGCAGTGTTGTCGGCCTTGTTTGTACATAAACTTTGTCTTTCGCAAATTGAAAGTGAGGGTATGTGTCTTTCTTTTGTTTATGAAATTTCAATGTCAACAGCATTGCAGAAAACGCGTCATTGTTACTGTGATGGAGATTGATAAAAAATATGCAAGGATTAAACTATTCAGAGATATTAGAATGTGATGTTAGATGCCAAAGGAGGTAAAAGTGGGGCTTTTGTAATAGGTTGCAATGAATGTATCTTTCCATGAACGAAACATGCAAGAATACGAGTGATTTGCTTTGTAAACGAACGAGTCTGTTTCCCTTTATCTATTTAAAAATTCTACTCATTGAAAAATGATGCTTTAAGGGCAATTTGCAACTAATGCAAAAACAAAAATTACAATTTGTTCATTTTCGCAATTGTAGTATGACAACAGCAAATTATTGTTATGAGTGTTATTCTCCCATCTCCGACATAATAAAAGGGAATTTATGACAGTTTACGCAGCAAATATTGCGACATGGCAATTCTGCATATCGTAAAATAGTATATCCAGCGATTGAACTAAGATATTTAACGTCATTATAAAAAAAAACTTTTCTTAATGATAGTTAAATAATTAAGTCCAGGATCGTAACCCTACACCGCGGGGGGCACACGATTTTAAGGGTGCTCAATCGAGAAATATTACTCTATGACAGAGATGCAAATATTTGGTTGTTGCTGTTGTCGTTCATTTGCGTCGCACTAGAGCTGCGCAATGGGCTATTGGCGTCGGTCTGGGAAACATCCCTTGAGGATGATCCGAAGACATGCCATCACAATTTTGATCCTCTGCAGAAAACCAAGTGGTCACCAAGTCGAGCACTTACCTGTAGAACAGTTTAACGAGGACCCATACCGCACACCCTCGGTCCCTACGCAGACTGATTCAAGTGGTCACCCATCTGCTCACTAAATTTTGCAGGGGAGCGCACCTAAGTCTAGGTACCCCACTGCCCTCTGAACTCGGTAATGAAAATCCCCCGGTAATTTCAGAGCCAGAAAACTCCACTCAAGATTAGGCCGTTAGAAAGCTAAGTTAGTACTACCGCCTTCCGATCTAAATTGTGGTACTGTTTGTGCTCGCTATTATAAATGATTAATATCAGACCATCGCCAGATGTGCATTAGTGTATCTGTGGTGTGACGTCAACAACCAAACCAAACTAATCTAAATTTCATAAAATGAAACCATTATTTCGAAGTTAAGAGTACAAAACGTTTTTCCTCTGCGAAATAATAGTTTTGAAACTTACTTATTGTCAAATAATAAATGCCCGAATCGCGAAGCAAAGATTTAGTTTTAATTTATATTTACTATCTTGCCGTGATCTGTGCTTTAGATAGGACAAATAGCTTAGATTGTTAAAAAATAAATATTAATTTTTTTAAAAAAAAAAATCACCAATTTGAGACATTTTTACACCTTAGAGAAAATTATTAAAATGAATGAATATTAATTTTCTACTTCTAAAAGTTTTTATAATCCTAGACAATTTAACATTGGAGCACTATTCAGATATTTTATTTTATAACCGTTGTTGAACAGCCAACCCAATTTTTTGGGTTTAAGACTATTAATATCTACTCCGTAACCTTGTCATATGAATCCAGTCCAGAGGACAAACTCCTTCCTGGATCAAGTATTGGAAGAAATTTGCCTTCGTGGTGGACTTTTTGTGTGTGAAACTAACCCGCATTTTCGTGACATGGACAGGAAAACCACGAAAACCTCTCATGGTTAGCCTGACGGCAAGAGAACTCTAACTCACAATCCGCCTACCACTGAGAATATTTTTAAGTCAGCACTGTGGTCAGTGCAAACCGAATGCGGAATTCGTATTGCCCAGCCATCGCTGGGATTCGAACCCGGTTCACCTCATTGGAAGGCGATCGCTCTATCCTTTGAGCCATTACGGCTCACTATTCGAAGATTGAAAAACGACAACTGCTTTTCATCTTTACAAAACTGTGAGTTTCCTTCACATTTACATTTTCAAAATTATTATAGGGTGCATAAAAATAGGCAAAATTTAACCTGAATAACTTGCAAACGCGCAGAAGTTACGACTAAGCGTTTTTCCATATGAAAACAAAACGCTTCGAAAAACATCCTTAAACTTTGAGGTAATGTAGGGGTTAGTCATGAAATTAACAGATCTTGGAATAATAAAATGAGTGATTTTTGTTCATTAGTTGGGAAAAAGTTCGTTCGTACCCTGGAGGATGGATTATTTGCGACTCCCTACGGCAAATCTTACTTCTGCCCGTCTCCTGACGTCATTCCCATGTACGACTCCAGAAAGGAAAGAGTTGTCTTGACACGAATGAAGGACGTCCACCTACAAATGTACGATGTGCAAATGGGCAAATTTTCCCAATGTAAGTAAAGTATCATTTCATATATAAAAGACCTTGCGCTCTCTTTCCAGCAATTTAACAACTCTGTTGTATTTATTTATTCGTTCTAAGTCGATTACGTTTATGGATATCTATAGTTTGTCAATAGAAAGAACTCCCCTCGCCACGAAGTCTCAGGCATTCTGCTGCTACGGCAAACAAGCGCATTTCAGTGAGGAGGGCTGCTCTCTTCGCTGATTCACTTTCTCTCACACGATGACCCAACATCCCGACTTGAAATAGTTAAACCTCGTTACCATGGTCACCGCCACTGATCCAGACGAACGGCTGGGGGAGTTCTTTGCATAGACAAACTATATGTAGATGGTTAACTGAATTGAAGTAATAACAAACTTTCTCAGACCGGAACGAAGTTTAGAAAACTTCCCGTGTATCCCTCCGCTTATAAGGCGATGTGTGAACAGGCTTGATATTCAAGGAAGTTCCATTATTGTGATTTTTTTTTCTTCAAATTTACGGGAAATTTTACCAATCATAAGAGTTTTCTATAATTTATAAATTCTAACAGATCGTGAGCCGAAGAAAATTAATATCACAATATATCATAGTCACAACACAAATATAGTGTTCGGTTTGCCACCTTTTAAGTGTTACCATTTATTTGGCTATAAGTGTGTAAAATATCTCTGGTTGTTTTTTTGTTTTTTTTTGTAGCATCATAGCATGTTTGAGAGTAATTTGTTATTTGTTTCATTGAAAATTAAATTGAAAAGACGCGTAATACTGTGAACACTACAATTATAATAATATGGGATAGCGCGCTTTTCCAAGCTTATGCGTAAAAATCAATCGGAAGTAGTAAACCGGAAGTCTTACTTCGCCACCTGTAGGGGAGAGTGGGGTCNAAGTTTCGAGCTGGAATGAATAACTTCAACGAGCTCCATATCTCCAATGGTATTGTTACTGATTTCTTCACTAGTCGAAATAGTGGCGACAACGGGTTCGGCGGTTGAATGAATTTTTTCTTGAGATAAACCAAAACAGATTTAGCGGCAAGCTCCGAAAGACAAGTGGCAGAGATAAGTCTTAGTCTGACTAATTAACCCCACTGTACTCCGTTCCCCCTTTTATATAATTTTTCACCGCAACTCCAAAATTCTCGAATTGTCTCAAAGACGACAGAACGTCTAGGATTCCAGAATCATCGCGTAAAGACCTCGCGAGCCAGTCTCGAAAACTAAACTGGTAGGACAGAAAGGAACCAGTCCGTAACACTATCACGTGAATTTGGTTTCAAAAGTATAACCCTATTATAGTAAATGTTTTTTCAGTATTCTGAGAAATACCGTGAGAAAAAAAAGTAGGCATAAGGCAGATAAAAATATATAGTCTTAAAAAATAATAGCTCGCATAATTTCTACTAAAATATACTAATTTCTACTAAAACTATAACTTAATATTAAAGAGAATTAGACGGCTTCAGAATTCGAACCCCAGCCCGCCATTTTATTTTATTTTTTATTTTTTTATTATTATTCCATTATGCGTTCTTTAACAAAGAAAGATGCATACTTTTATTCAAAGAGCACCTTATGCATGAGAAACAGTCGAATATATTGTAAAAATAATTTAAAACAATGGAAATTAGCCAATTTTCCTGGATTTTTCCAGTTTTTACATATTATTCGAAATTTTAACAATTTAAAAAAATTATATCCTACATGTAGGATCCTCTAAAATATAGAAAAACACATTGAAAAAATAATACAATGCAAGATAGGCGAAAGAAAAAAAAAAGAATTTATTTGAAAAGTTGATAAAGCTGGGTTTCGAACCTGTGCACCCTCGCCCCAGCTGTCAGTTTCTAGTCCGGAGTCTTGACCACCAGACCACTCGAACACTAGAAGCCAGTCGCGATTTCGCTTCAAAAGCCCTCTGACGGCCAGCTATGCAATAGACCTTTGAGGGGTCCCCTGCACTCCCTAAATATCCTATAAAAAATTGCTTCAACGGACATGTTTGGACCATTGACCCTTACTTAGGGTCCGAGTTTGAAAATTATAACTTAATATTAAAGAAAGTTAGACGGCTTTGAAATTCGAACCCCAGAGCGCCATTTTATTTTATTTTTTTATTATTATTCCATTATGCGTTCTTTAACAAAGAAAGATGCACGATTCTACTTATAGAACACCTTACGCATCATAAACTGTCGAATATATTGTGAAAATAATTTAAAACAATGGAAATAAGCCAATTTTCCAGTTTTTACCCATTATTTGCCATTTTACTAATTTAAAAAAATTATTTCCTATATGTAGGACCCTCTAAAATATGGAAAAACACATTGAAAAAATAATATACTGCAAAATAATCGGAAGAAGAAAAAATGAAATTTTTTTGAAAAGTTGACAAAGCTGGGAATCGAACCTGCTCCCCCTCGCCCCATCCGTCAGTTATTACTCCGGCGTCTTGACCACCAGACCACTAGAACACGAGAAACCTGCCTTAATTTCTCTTCAAAAGTCCTCTCACTGTCAGCTATGCAATAGAACTTTGAGGGCCCCCCTGCTCCCCGTAATTCACCTATAAAAGTTTCGTGATGCAGATATGTTTGGATCATAGACCCCCATTTAGGGTCCGAGTTTGAAAATTATAACATAATATTAAAGGGAGTTTGACGGCTTCGAAATTCGAACCCCACCCCGATATTTTATTTTATTTATTATATTTTTATTAGTATTCCATTATGCGTCCTTTAACAAAGAAAGATGCACAATATTTCTCATAGAACACATTACGCATGAGAAACTGTCGAATATATTGTAAAAATAATTTAAAACAATGGAAATAAGCCTATTTTCTGGCATTTTTCCAGTTTTTACCCATTATTCGCCATTTTACCAACTTAAAAAAAATTTTCCTATATGTAGGACCCTTTAAAATATGGAAAAACACATTGAAAAAATACTATAATGCAAAATAATCGAAAAAAAGAAAAAAGAAATTTTTTTGAAAAGGTGATAAAGCTGGGATTCGAACCTGCGCCGAATCGCTCCAGCCGTCAGTTACTACTCCGATGTCTTGACTACCAGACCACTCGAACACTAGAAGCCACTCACGATTTCGCTTCAAAAGCCCTCTCACGGTCAGCTATGCCATAGACCTTTGAGGGCCCCCCTGCACCCCCAAATTCACCTATAAAAATTTCCTGCAGCAGATATGTTTGGACCATAAACCCCCACTTAGGGTCCGAGTTTGAAAATTATAACTTAATATTAAAGGGAGTTAGACGGCTTCGAAATTCGAATCCCACCCCGACATTTTATTTTATTTTTTTATTATTATTCCATTTTGCGTTCTTTAACAAAGAAAGATGCACGATTCTACTTATAGAACACATTACGCATGAGAAACTGTCGAATATATTGTAAAAATTATTTATAACAATGGAAATAAGCCAATTTTCCTGGATTTTTACAGTTTTTACCCATTATTTGCCATTTTACTAATTTAAAAAAATTATTTCCTATATGTAGGACCCTCTAAAATATGGAAAAACACATTGAAAAAATAATGTAATGCAAAATAATCGGAAGAAAAAAAATGAAATCTTTTTGAAAAGTTGACAAAGCTGGGAATCGAACCTGCGCCGCCTCGCCTACTTTGAGGGGTCCCCTGCACTCCCTAATTAACTTATAAAAATTTGCTCCAGCGGACATTTTTGGACCATTGAACCTTACTTAGGGTGTGAGTTTGAAAATTATGACTTAATATTAAAGATAGTTAGACGGCTTCGAAATTCGAACCCCAGCCCGCCATTTTATTTTATTTTTTTATTATTGTTTCATTATGCGTTCTTTAAAGGCCTTTCTTAATAGTAGATGGATATAAAGATATTAGTAATTCGAGATAGTATTTATATTTAATGACATCTCCTTAGAAACAGTCGCAAAAATCAATTTTACAGTTACATATATCTGTTTTCTGTCACATATATTTAAAATGTTATTATATAAGAGCCTTACAATTTAAATATTTTTAAAATAAATGCCTTACAATTTAAATATTTTTCGCTTAAATGAAATAATAAAACTGATAAATAAATATTTTAAACTAATTTTTGCACGGAATTTTCTTTGAATAAAAAAATTCTATAACTGTGAGCCCAAATTTTTCAATTCGATAGAAAAATTTGAGTAATTATGATGTATGCAAAAAGTAAAATTACTTTCCTTAAAATTATGTAAAATTTTCTATACCTAACAATTTAGAATTTTTTTTGCTTATTAATAAATAAAATAATGAAATTGATAAATAAATATTTCAAATTATTCTTTGTATGGAAATTTCTTTAAATAAATTTTTTTTTAATTGTGCGCAATATTTATTCAATTGGATGAAAAAAATGGCTGAGTTATCACGAAATAGGCAAAAAGTAAAACTTTTATAAAGGAGTCCAAACATTCAATTGGTCAAACTATCGAGACCTCATTCCCCAGGTTGCAGCTACTCCCATATTTTAAGGGTTAAAATTCCGTTGGAAAAAAGAAAATTGCATGCTTATTCAGAGAAAGTACTTTTTTGTGACTCATTTCATAACTTAAAATATCGTCTGTTCTGGTTTTTGTCTTCGGCCATGAAGGCAGAGGCGAATGTCCTTGTTTTCCAGTGGCTCCCTCTATGGCCAAGAATTCAACTTCTACCACACCCATAGGTCACACTCGTTTTAAAAGGCATTCACGCATCCATTCATTCACCCACTGATCGTAATTTCATCCTTAACGAGAAATCTAGAATTCAGTACCCTCAGAGGTATGATTTGTTATGGGAACATGGAGCACTTTGTGACTCGACAAATTTAACGTGCACCAGTCACCGTTTTCACCACATGGATTTTTCAGCCGGTTGGATTCGAACTCTCACGAACATGAGTCAACCAGGATATCCTTCAAAATGCAGTAAGTCATAAATATAAAAAGTAGAGATTTAACAGGTAAGCTGTACTTTAGTGGACCATT